TACATTCCGAGGTAATAATAGGAGGAAAGCTTACTGATTTACAACGAAAAAAGTTATGAAAATATCACTAATATAATAGTATAAAATACGCCAGCTTGAATAAGGAAAACCAGAGATTTGAATGACACCTAAATTTCCAGTCAAATAGTATCCACAAGATTAGCGGACAGGGGATGGACAGATAATTAGACTTTAAAGGATCACGTCAAACGTCAGAACCGATTTACAATTCATTTTCTCTTACATTTACAATAACATTTCTCTTTATAACTTAAAACATGAACCTGTAGATGAACAAATACCTGACCTCAAGACCTCAGCAATTATCTCTGCATGAAAAATGAATGCACATAATAAAATTAAATGTTCAAAATCCAAAAAATTGAACATTACAAGGGGAAAAGGATAAAAAAGAGAGGCAAAAATTTATACCAGTCAAGCAATTAAAGATGACAAAAACATTATGTTGCAAGTAATGCTTTAAGACAAAGGAATGAAAGTCAGTAGAAAATAAAAAATAAAAAGAGAGAAGAACCCTGTGAGCATGTGAAACTCAAGTTGGGCACTTCTCTTCCTGGTGCAGAAACTGAAATCAAAGAGGCCACAAATATTTACCCAAACCGAATTTAATTTTAGTCTTAATCACTACTTTTTTGTTGTGTGGATAAATTAGCAACCAAATACAACACTCATAGCCACAAAATAGAAACAACCAAGAAAGAGAAACATAGACAAAACATGGATTATTACTGATCTACATGTAAATACCGTAATCCAATCGCAAACCCAAAATCACAAAGCTTAATACTTTAACAAAAAACAAAAAAAACAGTAATTCAAGGTTCCTGGAATTTAGGAAATGACTGCTATATATTTTGTAGGTCAAGAATAGTCCTTTTTCTCAAACTTCAACCATTCACCCATGTACAACACCAAAGAAAATAGAAAATAAAAATTATTATCACCTAAGAAAAATATGGCTACGAAATTATTAACTTTCTTTTTCTTCTTGTCCTTTCTGGGTTTTGAGGCCCTCAAAAAACGTACAGAATGAGTTCAAGAAAAGATTACAAAAACTTGCCTTTAGAATGAAGAACGAGCTATAAGATTTAAAAAAACAGCAAAAGTTCAAAGAATCATGGCAGTGTTTATGTATGAAATTATGTTTAAGGAAGTAGCAACAAAGTGGGTTTTTTTGTTTCTTTTTTCCCATTTGGTGTTTTCTTCTTTGTTTCCTTGGGGTGGGAGTGTTGGGGTGGGGGTCAGACCCATTTTGAGTCTGTATTGGTAACATATAATCCTCACCCCTCATCTATAAAGCCTACGGCTAACTTGTTCTTTCAATTAAGTAACGCATCATTTTCTTCGCTCTTTGCTTCTTTGGGATAAGGTTTAAGTTCTTTTCTCTCTATGTTTTTTACATTAACTTATTCTTCATGTAGTGTTGCTTTGTTATTTTTCTTATTTATTATACTTTGTATTTATTGTGTTATAGTCAAGGAAAACTATGTGTTGATATGTAGGTTGAATGCTTGAAGCTTTCCTTAATAAACTTGGCTTAGCAAAATCATTCATATTTAAAAAAAAAAGAAGCATATCCGATGGTTGAATATTTCTGTTATGTTTTTTTCTCTGCGAATATTCATCTACATATTATATTTTTCACAATTGTGTATAGTCTTTGTGTTTACTGCCTACGTGCTCTTGCTAGGGTTATGCTACATGTTGGGCCGTTAACCTAACATATATTGTTTAGGCGTTTCTATAAATTTTGATTTTTACATAAATATGTGACAAACTATATTTTTAGCAAAATGAAAAATCATAAAGACATACACAATTGAAGCCAACTTAAGGAACCAAGTGTTCCGATTTCAACCCAAACACTTTCAAATCCCGAACCAACCATCCCCGTAAATCATAAATTATTAAAAGCACATGCGAAAAGTTTTATTTTAGGGAACGGGGTTCTAAAAATCAAAATGACTGGTTGGGTCATTACAAGTTTAGTGTTATAGCACAAAAATATAGTTACCTTTTGTGTCTCGTCTTATTATAGTAATACTTTTCACAAGAAAGGCATTCTTTAGTTCAGTGATATATAAGGAGATCTTGAACTGATACTCATCGACAAGTAACTCTACTTATCCTCAAAATCAAAAATTACTAGTCATACACAAATCTTCACATCAACCCAATATAGAAAGTTTTTTGCAAAAAAACTAAAAGAAAGTGAATTTGATACCCAAATGAAGAAAAATAAACTTACATGATATTACCTTTAGATTCTGATAGTCAAATTTTAAATGTACTGAGCCTGAGCCTGGCCATTTGAAGTATATGTTACGAATGTAAGGTAACTTTAGAGACAGAGTAAGATAACAGAAAACAATAGGACACTTTCATCAAAAGAGTAAAAGGACAATGGAGAAATTTCTTATACACACCTTTTAGCTTAACGAACATGGTTTCATCTTTACCACAAAAAAAAAGTGATTTTATATGATTAATTGTCTTTATACAGTCACTTCCAATAGCAATCTTGCATATAAAAAAAAAAGAACATTCAGCTTCGAACACAATGGCACATATTTACCTAGCATTCGTATAGTAGTACCAACATTTAAAGTGCTTAGCAAAACTTCACCATAATATTTCAGCACACACGGATCACTATATTTCCTCTTAAATTTTATTTTTCCTCCCAGAGTAATTGAGCAAGACTCATCACTATATAAACAAAATTGGGGTCTAAATGGTCTCCACAATTCA